GCCTTGATGCAATCAAAAAAGCAATTAAACATACCGATGATGTTCCCAAATCATGGTGAGTCGAGCAAGCATGCTGCTGCAACGTATGATACTCGGGAGCTTGTCTATGTAATTCAATGCCTCTTCTGTGATTTTGTCTGTGGTTAGAAAGTAACAACAAAGTAGCACAAGAGGCCCAGCTATGGAAACCACTGCATTGGCAAGATACTCTTCCAACGTTGGCTTATACCCACCATGATACCATTTTGCTTCCTTTAAGTATGCTTTGCACAGATCTGCCCACTGGGAGCCATAGAAACTGTCAACAGTAAATACCGTAAACTTTTGGTATAGAAGTCCTAAATATCTAGCGAGCTGGAAGGGCTCTCTCTCTCTCTCTTACGTAAATAATATGTTCTCTCCCTTTATCACCAAGCAGTAGTTGATCAGTATTACTAAAGAAAAAAACCCAAAACATACGTCTCTCTCTCTCTCTCTCTCTCTCTTCTCTCTCCCCCCATTAACATCGATCATAAAATCTACACATAAAAAAATACTAAAATACTACCTGAAACAAACAAAAAGAGATAAGAAAAAAGAAGCTTAGGTGCACAGTATTATTAAATGATTTTACTTTTCTATTTGTTTAATGGAAAATTGTTTGCATGGAAGCGGTTGATTTCTAGGGATTATATATGAAATTAAGACAATTAGAGAAGGGTATTTTAGAACCGATGTCCCTCGTAGGGCTTGTATGATATTTACACTTTCTAGTTTAGCTATTTTCCTTTTAGCAATATGTCGAAGTGAGAGCAACTTCAGAACTGCATTCTAGCACAAACAGTAGATAATTCAAAGGCTGGTGTGATGTTTTACCGCTTTGCTTAGATAAGGGATGATGTTGAAGCCTCGCTCTTTCAATGTCCAATAGCCAATTTCGTTGCTAGTGTTATACATTGCAAGAAGACACGTCTTTATATTGCATGGAAGCTTATGAATTTCACTAACATCCCATCTGAAAGTTTCATACCCAAAAAAAAATAATAATAAAAGATTAAAGAAATAAGTTCAGAAAAAAATAAAGAAGCAATTTGGACTTCAATATACTATATGATAAATCCATTAACACACAAATCTTCATTCAAACCTGTAAACAAAATCGGTGAATAGCTCCAATTCTTCCAGTGAGCCATATACATCATATATGTCATCTATAACAGTTACAAAACAAATAACCTTTGTCCCCATATATCGAAATGGTCCATACTCAGGTTCAAATAGTATTCCCATGCTCCAAAAGTAGTGTTCTACTAGCCTGTCTCTGGTAAAGCTCATCTTGTCCAAGCCCATTTCAACCCACCAACTGAGAAGTTAGGAGTTACAGTAAGATTATTGACTTATTTTTATTACAGAATGTCATATCATGAACTATAATGAAATTGGTGGTTCCAAATCTAGGTCATCCATCGTATTTATGGAACATCGGATATAATTATACCTTGCTAATTTTCTGACCTCTTTTCGGTGAATGGATTGCACCATGTTGTAATCAAACTTAGCCAATTGTATCAAAGTAGGGTTCATATTTTGTTCTTGTGCATACGAGTCGATGAACCATCTAGCCTCCAATCTTGCGAACCTCCAATGCAAGGGCATATCCAAAGCATGGGCTACCTTTCTAGCCAAGGTCGGTGATATGTCTCCTATGATATTTTTCAAATGTTCGGTTGTGAAAGTTTTAGCCTCCTCAATGATATTTTCACCTTCAAAACCCAAAAAAGAAGCTTCATACAAATGCAACAGCCCCTCCACATCCTCACTTAGGCTTGCCCTAAATTACCGGTCTCATCCCTGAACCTTTTAAACACATCTGTTTCCCACAAATGTTAAATATAGAAACTGTTAATACTTAACACAACAAGTTTTTTCTCAATCGGAAAATACTATATTATTTCCTCTACATTTGTATACTGAGAATAGGATATGTACTGGGAAGTGGGAAGTAACATGTACCTTGGGGTACGTCATACCCATGTTGTCTTAGGAGTCTAAACCAGATGGCCGTTGCGTGGAGATTATCAACTAACCACGTATTATTAGTATCTTTATAAATAACTTCTATTGCTTTCTTTATTTCTGCCTCGAACTGATATTTCAACCCTAGTCTTTGAATGATATCAATCAATTCAAGCTTGGCCAATGGGTCCATAACACCACTAATGAGGCACTTCACCTCATCTTTCATTTTATGAGCTTGCCTCGCATATATCTCTTCCTACAAGTCAATAGAATTAAAAATAGATGAAACAATACCATTTTGTTATTCAAGGTACAATACTCTAATCATGGGCAAATTTTGCAAAAGAAAATGCGTTTATGCAAGCGATGAAGTAGTAAGTAGTAAGGCTTGATCACGAGTCACCTTATATTCACTCCTCAAGGACTTCACAAAATCATAACTCCAAATAGTAGGCTTATAATTTGCTGACCGTCTTTCAGCTTGAGATGTTTGAGTGCTGCCTGAGGTAACAATTAGCTGCTGGAATGCCATTTCACCTGTATCAGAAATGTTTGCAACTGCAATGCTAACCTGGATAATTTCTGAAAAAAGAACATAGGACTTGGACCTATATATAGAAAGATATCAAGGATGTTAGATAACACTATGGTACGACAAAATAATTTCGATAACCTATGAAAAAATGATTTGTGGCCATAGATCTTCTGTTGAGTCTAGCTATTGATAATCGAAATAATAAACATATGTGTCACATTTTATTGGTTCAAAAAGGAGAAATGGTACTATAAAATACAATACGGTTGACGAGAATTTTGGTATTTTATTTGAACAGTGTCAATGTCATATTTTATTATATTTTGTAATTTAATTAAAAAATATTTTATTTTAATTATTGGTTCAATTAGAATTTCATTTTTTTTTTGGTTTCCTAATTTTATAGGATTCTAGTTATTTTGTTTACGGTTTTTTCTACTAAGGCTTAAGGCAAGACAACTGCACTGCGTCCACCTTTCTTACAGAGGAGACTTATCTTTCTTTCATAATTCATCTGTACTCTTAATAATCAACAAATCAATTGAAACTTTTAGATTTAATATTCTGCATTAATTAACAGGTCTAGAGTAGGATTTTAAACTATTATTTGTAGTTTTATTTCGTTTCTCGATGCAATTCTGATTTTTTTTTTTTTTGTTTTTATGTATATTTGTAATTTTAAAACTTATAAGATTTTTTAAAATTTTTCCCCACCAAAATATTTGTAAAACTTATGAGTACCAATATATTTGAATAATACTTTTAAAATCTAAAAAATTTGACGTAAAAAAGTATTCAGTGATATAGTTCTAATAAAAAAAGTCTAAAAGTTGCAGTTTGAATAACGGTAAGTCTATAGCAATTACAAGAGACATTTTGGTAGGGAACAATTAAAACTTTAAAAATCAAGTCACAACTTTTAAGAAAGAAGTTTATAACTCCCTTGATGTTATTCAATCAATTATAAAGGTCGTGATTAATTACAAATATTGTAATGGATCATAAGATGTTATGATAGATCCTAAATTTATATCTATAATTTATTTATAAATGTCAGTATCTTCGAAAAATTTATTATTTAATTATGTATTTTATCCCTAATTATTATTATTATAAAAATAATTGTACACACCTATATATTTTTATTTAATTTTTGTTTTTTTTACTTCTATTTGAGTTTCAACTTTTTTTGAACTCTTTTATAAGGATTTCTAAATTCTTTTGAACTCATTTATTAGTAGTACACTTATATCCAATTTTCTATATTTATATAAAGAAGTAAAGTCCTATACATGTTAAATTATTATGTACATGGAATTACCATATTGAATTCTACGATAAAATGTATGTTATATTTTATTTTTTGGTATATAATATTGTATTAATATTATAACCGATATAATAAATCTATTTTAAAAAATAAATATTAATAATTTTATAATATAATTCGATAGTCAAAGACTTATAGAATATATTAATAATTTGTATTTATTATTTAATGAAAATATGGACTTATTATTTGTCATCTAATTTATTATTTAATTTAATTACACATATAATTAGTTGACATTACGAATCCGAAAATAACACGATTAGTTGACATAAGTAATCAATGGATCAAATTAAGGTTCAACACAAATAACACGATTAATGGATACTGTAGATAAAAAATAATTATTTAACAAGTATTGTAGATAGAAAATAAGAATTTATAATTTTTTAAATAGTATTATATTAATTGTTGTCAAATTAAATAATTTTTAACACCAATAATGACAAGAACCTGACATATACCGAAATGATACGACATGAAAATAATACGATCAAAAGTAACACGATACAAAAATGAGACGAAACAACAAGATTGACACCCTGTTAGCGGTGGATTGCATTAGGCTTAAACAAGCATGGCTAAAGGATACCAGATATCAACTGAAAACTTGTGGATGACAATGGAGAGTACCAACCAAGGCCCGCCCAATAGTGGAGAAAAAGAAGCGGTGGCTTTAGGCCACCAATAAAGAGGGCCCAAAATTTAAAAAATTTATAAATATAGTCAAAGTCAATTTTAATTCATTAAAAATAATTTTATAATAACAAAAAAATTCTAGACTGATTTTGAGCCCAAAAATATAATTCATTAATCTCACACAATAACATAGTACAAGAAAAAATTTATATAAATATATATATATATATATATATATATATATATATATTATAGCTGATGGATTATAGCTGTGGAATTGATAGTGGGTCCTAACTAATAATAGAATTTATCGTCAATCTAATAAGGTCTATGTAATATTATTATTTTTATCAAAATCTTAAAAAATTTAGTCAAACATATATTCTATGAGTAATGTCTAATTCATAGAAAAATAATTTTATAAGATTGTCAATGACAAGACAACATAAACTATCAAATAATCTTTGAATTTTAAAGTTTTGAAATTTTTTATTTATTTTAAAAATTAAGTCAATTAGTTATACTATCAATAAAAAAAGATATCTTAGAAAAACTTCAATACGAATACTAAACAATTAATATGCATCCAGCAAAAAAAATTAAATATCAAAAAATTTACTCTATTATTAAAAAAAAATTAAAAAAAAGTCTCAATTAAATTTATAGCTTTAGACCTTAAAACATATCAAGCCACCCCTGCTACCAACAACCTTGTCTTTTGATTAGAGGATGGTTGTTCTTCTGTTTCGATCAAGAAAAACTACCATCTCATTTCCTTTTGTTTTTCTTTTTTTTAGTTCTGTTTGGATTTTTTTGTATATGGATGTACATTTATACATTTTCTTTCAATATATGGATTTCACTTATTGACCGAATATACTATCTCGTATTTTTTATTTTTTATTTTTGAAAAATTATCTACAAACTAACTTTTGATTATTGTATTTGATGTGTTTCAACTGGGTTTAACTAGTATTACCGTGATTTCTTCTTGACTTTTTTTTTACCCACCTTGCTAGTTTATTAAAGAATTGCCTACATACTATGGGAATTCATGCATGTTACACATGTCTGGTACTTTTTTTGTTTGTTACGAAGACATTGATAGACGGCCGTCAATCAACTGTTTTACAACTTCCAAAATTAGGTTTTAGACAGTTTTTGTTTTTTGTGTCCAATGTCTCCACGTGAATTAGGTTTTACATGTTCCGTTATTTTTTATTGAAATTATTGAACATAGTTAGATTGTCTTTTCAAATTATATAATGCCTATTCATAATGTAAGGACATAGTTTAGCAAAAAATAAAGATTTTCAAAACTCAACAAAAGGTGGGAGTCAAAGGTAATAAAATATTATGTGACTCACATATAAGTTAGGGGGTAATTTTACGATATCAAAAAAAAATTAGTGGCTTTTCAAAAGTTATTATTTTTGGAGGTCAAATTATATCTTTTAAAATTAAAGTTACAATTTCTTATGGTAATTAATGTTTGATCATGAGTACCCTTTTATTAGTTGCAATTTCACTTTTAAAATATGCAACTTGACCTTTGTTTTTTTATTTTTTGGGAGATGGGAAGAGAGGGAAGAGAACTTGAACCCTTGACCTTAAGAAAACAAAGCTTTCACAAGGTAAAGAATATCATTAAACCAAAGACTCGTTGATATGCAACTTGACCTTGAAAGATTATATTTATAATTATAACAATTACTTTTAAAAGTTATAACTCTCATAATTGTATATAAGATTTTAATATCGATCATGTGTTTTACAATTGTAATTTCTAAAAAATGTAATGAATTATAAATTTTGATACGGTACTAATTTTGAGACCATAGTCTTCTACAACATATTCAATGTCCTCACACCCATCTTGAGAAGTTCTTAACAATGTTAAACTCATCACCTCTATGTACTATTTTTGTGTACCACATCAATGTAAACTATTGGATTAGTGTTTCCATTGAGTTCACTCAATGATGGTGTAAATAAGGTGGTTGATAAAAGTAGTGTCTGTATCATTCTTGGTTTCAAAACACGGAGGCGGTCCATCCTTATAATTAGGAGTTGTCTGTGGTATCGAAAAATAAATTTTGGAACCATACTTCTATTTATTATATTTATAGATATTTTTATTATTATTGTAGGTATTTTTATCACTGTTGTAATACCAAAAAGAAAGTGATAAAAATAGGTATCATAACAATTGTAAAAGTAGTCACAACAGTTATCAAATTTACTTTCTCCCCATCCAATCCTCACCGTTTGGCTTATATATGCCTTGACCAAACGTCCATCCAATTTTAAACTAGGGCTTTTCGCTGGTCAGTATAGTGTGGTAGATTTTTAGGCATGCGTCTCGTCGATGAAGTTGGACAAGAACTTGACAGGGGATCGAATCAAATTTACTTTCTCCCCATCCAATCCTCACCATTTGGCTTACATATGCCTTGACCAAAATGACCAAAATATCCATCCAATTTTGAACTAGGGCTTTTTGCTAGTCGGTACAGTGTGGTAGATTTTTAGGCCTGCGTCTCGTCGATGAAGTTGGACAAGAACTTGACAAGGGGTTGAATCAAATTTACTTTCTCCCCATCCAATCCTTATCTTTTGGCTTACATATGCCTTGACCAAAATGTCCATCCAATTTTGAACTAGGGCTTTTCGCTGGTCGGTACAATGTGGTAGATTTTTAGGCCTGCGTCTTGTCGATGAAGTTGGACAAGAACTTGATAAGGGATCGAATCAAATTTACTTTCTCCCCATCCAATCCTCACCGTTTGGCTTACATATGCCTTGACCAAAATGTCCATCCAATTTTGAACTAGGGCTCTTCGTTGGTCGATACAATGGGGTAGATTTTTAGGTCAACAAGTTCAAGCACTGCTTTTTGGTGTCATTAAGGACAATATCGATGCAAAAGACAACTTTGTCAGTATATTATTACCTAGATAAAATATATCAACAAAATTTCAAATTTGAGATCCTAAAAATTCTCTCAACCAAAGTAATCTTTCTATCA